AAACACAGCGCTGCCGCACAAAGCCCTCCACCCGCTCTAGCCCTGAACGGAGGGGTGGGGGAGATGACTAGGACCCCTAAGTGGCAGTGAGAAAAGACCTTTGGGAACAAGCTGCGGGTGAGGGGATGGCCCCAAAGCCAGGCACAGGTGTGGACTTACAGGTGTGGGCCAGGTAGAGTGATGACCCCATGCCAGAGCCAAAGGCTACAAGTAATTACATCAAGACAATAGGTGTAAATCCGACTGACCCAGGCAGAGGCAGCCGTGTGAGGAGGGGTGGCGATGCCAAGATGGAAACACCCTCGCTTCGCTTGGAGCTCACCGCTCAGTGGGAGAGAAGAGGCTGTAAATAAGTATGAGAACAGAACAGGCGGTGGGGGAGGGGTGCCAGCTGGAGTCCGAGTTTAAAGGCAGGATCCCCGGCACTCCAATTCCATAAAGGGAAACAAAATCTGTTTCCATCAGAAACATACAGAACATGAAGCCGAGAAAATTGACGCGTTACTTGACAGGAGGGAGGGGGCCCTCAACCTTAAACACTAACTGAAATGTTACAGAGATGGTGGCATGGGAGCCGGGCCTTAAAGGATGAGTAGGTCTGGGATCAGCTGAGAAGGAAGGAACCGCATCTCTCCCTGGGCAAGATGCAGAATGTATTCCAACGACAGCTTGCTGCTGGGAATTCCCTGGTGGTCCAGTGGTTAGGACTCCGCGCTTTCACTGCCTGAGGGGCGGGGTTCAATCCCTGGCAGGGGAGCAAAATCCTGCAAACGACGAGGCACGGCCAAATAAATAAAGCAGTTTGACGCAAGGAGTTAAATCACAAACAAACGTAATGGCGAGGAATTCAAATTGGGCCCAGTAATCACTGATTTTGCTGCATTGAGTTTCCGTGTTCATCCTAAGTTTCTGACCCTAGTTAAAGTTCCATCTGCCTCATGGTCGCGTCAGGAGGCCGTGGTGGTTCTCCTGTGTGTAGTGGCAGGGTACCGCCTCCAGGGGGCGCTCCAGTCCTCCCCTGTGACTTCACTTGAAGGGGGATCGGGTGGGCCCAGGACACCGAGAGAAGGAGCAAAGAAGCCAAAAGCTCTGCTTCCCGGAGAGGGAGGGTGCGTGGGGACGGCTTCCTAGTTTTTCTGTCTCCGCCTCCCCATGCACACACACCCAGGGGGCTGGTGGTTTCGGGCTGATCCCAGACAGTAGCCTCTTGGGAGCCTCCCTGGACCAGGTGGGCAAACAGGTGTTTCAAGTCGGCTGGGGGTCTAGGGAGAGGTGGACCCTTTCCCTGAGTCTGTCTTTCCATGCCCTCACCACAGTCAGGAGTGCAGGCCCCAGAGGTCCCTGAAGAAAGGAGTCCAGGAGAGTATTATCTGGCTTCTGTCCAGGCTTCCAGTCAGCTTTGCCAAAGGAATTTAGGTACCAAACATGTGCTCTGAGCAGTTGAGGCCCAAATTCCAGCCCGTGCCCCAGTCTCAGGGGCTGGAGGTGGCAGGATGGGTCTGCGGTCCTGACGGCCACCTCCCTGAAGACCCAGCTGACACGACTGGCTCAGCGCCTCTGAAGAAAGGCACTCGCTGTGCAGCTCAAGGTCATGGTAGGAGAAACAGAACCAAGAGCAGGAAGGTGAGGCCAGCTTTTGAGAGGCCTTGAATGCTGAGCCAAAATGTCTAGACAAAGACTCCCTCAGAATTCTCTGCATTTGTGGGCACAGGGCTCTGGATTTGTGCATTTCCTCCTTACAGTGCTAAGACCCATGGTCCAAATGTGAATGATTTGATTTCTCTTCACTGTGATATTTACAGTCCAACCTGTAACAAGCTATCGTTTTTTCGGGTTTAGGTGCTATTATGAACAATAGCTACCATTTACCCAATACCTGTGATTATTATATTATTAGGTATTGTAAACCCCATTTTACAGATGAGAAGACTAAGGCTCCAGTTAATCAAAACTTGTAAGTGGCAAAACTAGCGCTCGAGCCCCATGGCTCCCGCCTCCTCCACCCCCAGATTCACGCTGGGTCCCGCATATTTGGCCCGTGACTGTGTGCTTTCTTTCACAGGCTGGGTGCCTGACCAAGATGAATGTCACCATGCACGCCCCAGCTAAGGAGAAATAAAATCTCAAATGGCCTGAGGAACAAAACCTTCAGACTGAGCTTTAGGGGAACGCCCTGTACTCGCAAAGCCCAGCCTTCACTCAGGCTGAACCCTTGGCTTAGAAGACTCCACCCACCGTGTGCTCTGTTTATTGAAATCCTACCCTTCGCCAAGGCCTGGTTCCAATGTCAGCTTCTCAAAGACGCCTTGTCCAGCCCTGCCAGTAGGAATTCCTCCTGATCTGTGTCCCCATGAACTTGGCAGCTGGCTCGGTGCAGACCCACCCACTCAAATTCCGCCTGGACCTCTTGCGGGTAGAGACTAGGTCTCACCCATCTCTGTGGCCCCTGGGGCTCTGCACACACTCAGGGCCTGGAGATCACGCCCACAGTCTCTGGGAGGGGTTGTGGCCAATGTTCAGGTAGCTGGTGCCAACTTAACAGGTGCCTCCGAGGGCTCAGCTGCCAGCTGCCCTTTCCCATCCCCAGGAATGAAGGTGCCCCATGGTGGCCAAGCCACTTTTACCCTTCCCACAAGCAGCCAGCCCAGCCCGGGCTCCTGGCCACAGCAGCTGTGGCTCCCGCCTCTCCCATCCTGCTTGGCCAGCTCTCTTGCAGCTTCCTCCTAAGCTTTCCTGCATGGCAGTCTGTCCATCTGGGCATCTGCCTTAATTTCTTGCTTTGTGTTCCAGTTCTGCTTTGCTGAAGCCCGACTCTGGACCTGGCCCTCCTTTGTCCTCCCAGGGCTGGACCCAGCCCCCAGCAGTGGAAGGAGGCCAGCTCTCTCACTGGAGCCCAGTTAGGCTCCCAGGATCCCCGCCCTGCAGCCACCCTTCAGCACAGCAGGTCAGGATCTCCCAGACGTGGGCATCAGCCCGAGCCAAGCCCAAGTTCCCGGGCACATTTAGACCCCGCACCCAGGGGTGGACACCCCGCAGGAGCCAGCGGGGTCCAGCAACCCACCCGCCCTTCACCCGCTCCTGCCATGGATGCCTGCCTCTCCCAGGGAGGGGAGTCACAGGCGCCACGCAGCGGGGGATCCAGGCCACAGTGGGACAGCCACAGGGCCTTTGAGGATTTTAGAATCAAGCACACAGGGCGGTGTAAGGGTTGAAATAAAAAGGGACTAGAGGCTTTGAAGTCCTTTCTGGGGCTTAACTATAATGAGCCTTCAGGGAAATGAAGCACGACCTCTGTTTACAAAGTTCCCAGACTACCTCGCGAGGGGTGAGATGACTGGCATTTTACTATCTTATTTACACTTTGCTGTAGATTCTAAATCTTCTGTAATAAACATACTTTTATAACCAGGAAAAATAACTGATAATCCAAAGACATAAGCAGAAAGCAGATATCGTCAGAGCTTCCTCGGATCACAGCAGCCTTGGGTACCAGGGATGACAGGCAGGCTGGGCTGCTATCCTGTCTCCGTCGTCCGCCGGCCCCCAAGCTGCGGCGGGCAAGTCCCAACTTCAAAGTCTCAGTGTGCTCGGCTGTCAAATGGGAATGACAGTGTCGGCATTGGGCTGCACAAGAGAGATACCCACGATAATAAAACTTGCATCCCAGGGCCAGGGAGACTCGGTCCCGGAGTGGGCCTGGGAGAGGTTTCTGAGAGCGCTCCCCACGCGGGAGAAGTAAGGGCGCTTCTCAGGCAGCACGGGGCTGCTCTGTCCAAGAGACATATTCCAGGAATGGAAATGAGACACAGCCATCTTAATCCCCAACTAACCACAAAACCGTCCCTTTAGCCAGAGTGTGGGTGCCACTGATCTGCACAGCGCTGCTGGGGGAGGCCCCATTCCTGTCCTCAGCCTGCAGAGGGAGGCTTGTTGACCAGTCTCCTCTGCAAGCATCTGTCCACCCAGGAAACACCGGCCCAAAGGGCCAAGCGGCAAATGGTGGGAGCAGAATCCAGACGCTCTTTCTCTCTCGGCCCCCCGGCCCCGGCCCCCGGCATTTTGACCCGAGCACCAACAGCAAGGTCCCTCGCCCCTGCAGGGAAAGGAGCCGCCCTGCGGGGGGAACGTGCCTGAAGTGCAAGCGCCAGGTGCTTTGGGGAACCAGCAGCCGGAGGCTCTGTCTGCCCCACTCACGCCACACCCTCACCCTCTTTCCCGTAGGCAGCAGAAGGCCCCAGGCTCTCTCTGCCTGCAGGGCGTGTGGAACCCTCCAGTGCCGGCCCAGCCTCTGCAGCTGAGGAACATCACAGGTGTCCTAGATGCCGTTCGGGGTGGGAGATTAACACCCTGTCTTCACTGCAGCCAAACCTCCAGCCTTTGGAAGAAAGGACAAGGCCTGACTCTAGCCCAGGCTCCATCCTCGGTCCCCACTTCCACTAGGGGTTATCTGAACACCCTCTGCTCTTGCTTTGGGGCTTTAAATGAAAATAACTACCTTTGAACAAAGCCTTGGCATCTAGGATGAGATCCAGAAAAGGCAGGACGGTGCAGCCACCGGCTTTGGAGTCCAGGGGCACTCACAGCACACACGTCACACTCTCTGAGACAACCATGCTTAAATGACTGTGTCGGTCCAGTAAGTTCAACACTCAGGGCCTCCCTCCTCTCCCGCATGCAGACACAGACGACAACAAGAGGTCCCAGCACTGTGCCTGGCGAGCGGGAGCCCTCAGATAATGCCCCGTCTTGAGGCTCAAAGCAATCACTATTTCTCTCCATCCAAGGCAAAGAGAAAAGCCTTCACTTCTTGAATAAGTTCTAAACCCTCTTCTATAAATGCAGCCTCCATGGCAGGGGCCCGTGGGCAGCAGCTGGTCCTGTCACTCATTTGAAGAAGTAGGAATGCACAGATCCTCAGTGAGACCCGCAGGTCCCATCAGCGCTCCTCAGCTAGGGGAGGAGGGGGTGTGGTTTGCAAGTGGCCACGCCCTGGCCCTTACCCATGACCAAGGTGAGTCCGGGCGGCTCTTGCCCTGTGAGGGCTCCCAGGTGGAGCCGCAGGCGCGGTCCTGTTCCTCCATGGCCTGGCCCGAGGGATGCCAGCCGCCTCCTCACCCAGTGCCCGGAGAGCAGTGTCTGCAGCGGCTAATTTCAGGAGCTGGGAGCCTGGGCTGGAGACACTGAGCCCAGAGCAGGCGGCTTCTCTTTACACCCAGGAGCCTCGCCAAGTCACAAGGCTCAGGAAAAGGGCAGGGTGCTGAATTGCAAATCCTCTCCCACCTGGGACTGGCTAACAAAAGAGCACCGGGACACCTCCCGTTCCCTGAAGGATGCAGAGATTTCCCACAGATGTCAGTTTCTCTAGACTTTTTGAGAAGGACACCCGGTGAGGGGGCGTGACCCCTGCTGGCCACTGGCCATTCTCTCCTCACCAGCTCTGAGGAATCAGGAGTGAGACTCAGAGACTGACTAACTTCCCCAAGGTCACAGCAACAGAGGACAGAACTGGGATTCAAACCCACGAGTGCTGCCTCCAGAGGGAATTTGAGGGGAGGAGGGGACTTAAGGGAGGGATCACCTCACATGCTGCGTGCAGGGAACCTTGCAAAAAAAGCTGTGCAGATCATTTCTCCACTTTCTATTCACTTTCTTCCCTGTGCGTCCCACAAAAGCTACGGGGAATCCGTTCTCTCTGTGCGTGGGCACCCCTCGGGGAGTCAGGAAGGCTGGGGTCGGTGGCCTCCCTTCCCCAGTGGGCCACCACCGTCACCTCCATCATGCTCGGCAGCAGCATCACGACAATTTGCTGGATTTGAATGCCCCCCACACACCAGGAAGCTGCTTTCTGGTATGTATTTTGCATCTAAGGTTATGCAAGTCAAATAAGGAACGTGAAGAGCTGGTCTTGGGTCACAAAGCGGGAAGTGACAAAGCAGGGTCAGCCTGATCCCACATGTAGTGCTTGAAATGTGGTTCTCATCCTGCCTGCCGGGAGTCATGGGTTTGTGCTGACGGGGCTGGGCTCAGAGGAGCGCAGGGCAGGAGGGAAGGTGTTTCGGGGTGGGGGGGAGGGGGAG